GCACTGCAGCTTGGTTCAGTCCGTTTACATGTCTGTCTCATGTTACGCTGAATTATTAATGGCTGTAAATGGATTTATCAGCTCAACAAAACAGAAAAAATATTAACATTGACTCATAACCTGCTGTGTGTCTCGAAGTGAAAGTAGGCTGGAGTTTAATGCTTTTTCTGCTCGATGGAGCTGCACTGTTAAAGATGTTAAAGTTTAAATTTAAAGGAGTCATTGAAACAAAATTAAATAAAACTTCCAGTTATAACAAGAACCTCAAGTAAATGCATCAGAACAAAAACACTCAGTTTGATCTGCACTGAATAAATTATTTGATAAGTTAAAATAGAACAGCAGTAAAAACTGTGAACTGTCCCTTTAAAATGCAACCCGGAGCTGTCCGTGGTGCTGAAGGTCCAGTCAGCTCTGAGCTGAGGGGATCACCACCCTGCAGGACACACATAATGTTATGTCCTGTTGTTTAACCTTATAGTTACTTATAATTATGAAAACCTTTTCTTGGTTCTGCTGATGAAAACAGAAGCAGGTGAATAAAGATCAACACTGACATGATTTAACTGGTTCAGGAGTAAAATCTGAGGAACAGAGGAGAAAGTGTTTTAAAACACAGATGATTATTAAAGTTTAATTCAGTACAGTACATAAAGAATGTGATTCCTGACAGGTTTTCACATCTGGATGCAGCTGCCATTAATGCTTTAGCTTCTCTTTGACTCAGAGTTTTACTGTGTTTTCTCTCTTTAAGCCCTGCAGCAGCAGCAGCAGCAGCAGGAGCAGCAGCAGCAGCTGCAGCAGCAGCTGCAGCAGCAGCAGCAGCAGCAGCAGGAGCAGCAGCAGGAGCAGCAGCAGGAGCAGGAGCAGCAGCAGGAGCAGGAGCAGCAGCAGCAGCAGCAGCAGCAGGAGCAGCAGCAGCAGGAGCAGCAGCAGCAGTAGCAGCAGCAGCAGCTGCAGCAGTAGCTGCTACTGCTGCAGCTGCTGCTCCTGCTGCTGCTGATGGATGTTTGATTCACTTGAATCCAATCCAGTGTTTTTCATTTTCAACACAAAGTAAAACTAGGAGCATTTCACGAATAAAAACATGACCAGATATAAATCACTTCCATGTCTGTTAGTGAATTAACACGTTTAAAGAAACGGTTCTGATGTTTGAGCAGCAGTGACGGATCTACAGTAAAGTTTCTCTGAGGTTTCTGGGTTTGAACCTCAGCTTGACTGACAGAAACTCTGATGTTCATCCTGAACAGCAGGTGTTCAGGATCTGTGTCTGCTGAAGTGATTCCTTTTGTTTGGGAGATTCAGGTGAATCAGTTCCCTCCAGGCGGCGGTTGCTGCCTTCAGGCGGTTGTGGTCAGGAAGAGGAAGGAGGTCAAGTCAGGGAAAAGTGTCAGATCAGCTTCTGCAGGCTGGAATCATTTTGTAGTTTTTCCAGAACTTTCCTAAACAAAGCTACAAATAAATGATGGCAGCCGAGTCCAGTTCCTATTGTGATCAAAATAAAAGCTGTGGTTCTGTCACACTCATATTTAATATCAGATCTAATTCAGTACAAAGTCATCAGGAAGGCACAACACACACATTTTAAAGGGACTTTGCTGCTGGAGTTTTTCTGTTTTCTTGTTTCTAAAGTGAGAAGAAACGAGCAGAGAGATTACAACCCAACGACGATCAGTTCACAAGAGCCAACTCTGAAACCGATTAAAGATCACTGCCTGGTTCCTGCAGCAGCCAAAACATGCCTCAAGTTTCATGGAGCTAAAGCAGAAACTTTAAATTAATTAAGACTGAACTGCAGGTTTAATCAGAACTGAATGGAATCCATGAAAACATTTATTTATTTTTCATCTTGTGACGATCTAATGGCCAGAGTTCATGACTCATCTGAGTTATACGTAAGTCTACAGGCTGCTGACACTGTGTAAACTAAAAGGTTCTTTTTTGACACACACACACGCACACACACACACAGACACACACACACACACACACACACACACACACACACACACACACACACACACACACACACACAGCTCATTAAAAGGCGTAGGCAGTCCATTTCCTGTGGAGGGAGATGATAGTTTATTTCTCCAAAGACAACAGTCCATATATGGGCAACCGCAGAGCACTTCCTCTAATGTTCCACATACATCAGCAGTTAACAAAAGCACCAGGGGACAGGTGGAGGAAACTACAGAGAGAGTCAACCAGAACCAGAACAAATTAGAAATATAAATTGTCTAATTTCTTTTGAATGGTTCTGTGATCAAAATGTTCCGTAGTTTTAATGGAACCAGAGTCTGATGGGTCGAACCCTGCTGGGTAAGAGGAGGCATGTCTGCATCATGACTGTTGGCCCACAGGGGGCGCTCTGAGCGACAGCACAGACCAGTTTCATAACGGAGCTTCAAATGAAAAGTGCTTTCAGTGTAATGATAAAACCATGTCGTGTGTTTGGGCCGGTCCCCTCCGTCCATTATGACCCGACCAACATCAGAACATCCATCAAACCGCGACACCATGAAGCAGGACGCAGTCAGAGGACTCCCACCGGGCCTGCACACCATTTATCTATATCCATATAACACAGACATAAAAATATACGATACACATCAGGGTTAAGATTTAACATGTAAATGTATTTAATTATGTAGATTTTAACGGAATAAATCACTTTTTTCAGGTTCTGACTGGAGCCTTCTGTTGGCGTGTTTCTGGTATGCCGGTTTAGATTTCAGCCGTTTCTCTCCTGATAAATACTCGTTACTTTCCTGGAACATTTCAGTTTTATGAACTTAACGGTTATGTTTGAAGGAAACGCGTCACATTTGGTCATAGTTACAAAGAACTTCAACACTTTCAGAGTTTTTCTCAGTCCTGGATCTTCCAGGTTAACTTCAGAACAAACCAACATAATTTGAAAATAATCTGGATTTTCTCATGTGAATCTGCTGCAGTCATGCCTGGCTGGGTTTACCCGCAGGTCTGTAGCGGTTAGCAGAATGTGTGACACAAATGAACACAGAATGAGAAAGTAACAGGAGACAAATAATACAACTGCAAAAGAACAAAACAATGTTTTTCTGTTATATGTTTAAATTTTTGCTTCAAAGAAATGATGCAAAATGTGAGAATGATTCCAGAAGTTGGCAGGATGTTCTGCTAAACACAAACTAAAGGAAGTGTTGGGGAACTTTGCTGTTTTTTTCTCAGTTTTCTGTCACTTCTGGTTTGTGGGGATGTTTCTAAGAACAGCAACTCTCTGCATCTGTGGCTTTATCTTATTTCAGGAGAAGCAGTGAGACGACGTGGGGACGGCCTCTGGACTCAGGGATACAAATACGATTAGGCTTCGACCCAAAGTTCACAATTTAACAAATTTCAATGAAGAATGTGAAAAGAGGAGCACAGCAGCCGTTCTGGTGCAGAAATGTTTACCACTGCAGAGAAAAAGAAGTCAGGGATTTTACTGAGCAGCAGAATCACAGATATTAGCAAAACAATCTCCAGAAACTGAATCTGATAACCTGAAGAAAAAGAAAATGAGAATAAAACTCTTAATGTTGAGTGAGGCGGTAGAAGAAAAGAGGGAATGGACCAGAGGATGAAGGAGATCAGATCCGCTCAGCAGGAGGAATCAGAGAAATGTTCACATCAGAGGCTGAAGCTGCAGAGGCAGCCATGCTGGAAAAGCCACAAGCAGCTCCAGGCGAAGTGGAGGAGCATCTGAAACAGTCTGAACACAGAGAGGAAAACAAGAGTCTTAGTGAAACACAAACGGCTCCAAAGCGTTAATGAAGCAGCTGAATATGCCAACAATCAGATCCACTGGTTTGTGCAGCTTGTTGTGCAAAAAGACCATCAGCATTGCACATGGATTGCATCATCATATGCATTATTAAAACTGAAGCAGCATTAAAGCTGTTTATATGAGACATAAGTAACATCACAGCTGTAGTTTAACTGTAGAAGTGGAGGCAGACGATCCTGATGCCAAACTCTGGATAATTCAGGAAGAAACTCAGAGAAAAGCTTCATGAACAGATGTGATAAAATGTTTGAGTCCATCCCTGATGACCAGCTGGAGAATTAACACTTACAGTGATCATCCAGTAGGTTTTAATAAATCAAAGAAATGTTTTAATATTACACTTTTGATTGTAATATTAACCTTTGGAGTGTCCTAGTCAAAGTCCCAGCTCTAATCCTGTAGAGAATCTGAACAGATCAGGGTGATGGCACAGAGTCCTTCCAATCTCAAAACCTTCATGTCAATGAAATAAATATCATTTCTAAAAATATCAGAGTTAATATGCATGAAGGTCATCAACAGTACAGATGATTTTATCACCACTTTGTTTAAATATCGATAAAAACAGGAAAATTAACCTGATCTTCACTCATCTGACTGAATGTTTTATCAAACTTCACCAAATAATAATCTAAAATCTCAGTTCAGGAGTTTGAATAATTTCACATTAGACTGAATATGTTGTGCTTCATCTGTGAAAAGTGATAAATAAATATCGCAGGTTGTTTTTCTCTAACTTTCTGGTTCCTTTTTGAAACTTAAAGCTCCTGAAAATAACAGAAAATGTTTCTGGAAATGACGATTCTTTTCCTGTTAAATTTCACATTTTTCAACTTTATTTCCAGCTACTTTCACTTAAAACATTTATCTTGTTTTTCTGTTACAGTTTTTAAACTTGATATTTTCAGTATTTTTCTAATGTGAGTCACTTTTTGACTTTTATTTGAGTTTCATAACTTCCCTGCTTTCGCTCCTCAGACTAAAATCAATGCACGATGGAACGGAGACCAACTTTTTTACTTTAAGTTCTGAAACTTCAAGGTTTCATGCTGCCTGTCCTTTCTGGAACTTAAAGTTCTATAAAGTTACACATCATTTATTCTCGTATTTTCCCAGAACTTGATGGTTTTTTCCAGACCAAACAGGGTTGATTTTCCCAGAACTCCTAGAGCTGCAGTGTGAGGTAACCAGTACACATCCATGTGCAACGCTGATGGCGCTGAGCTGTCAGCAGGGATATAGATGTAGATTATTTCACATCAACAGATGGAAACAAAGTGCTGGATGTGGAATTGACAGAGGAGCAGTGGGGGGTTTATAAGAGTGAAGTCATAAATCAAAGACAGAGAGAGAAGTGATGCAGCAGCTCAGTCACTGCATGATTTAAAAGATCTGAATTTATGTATTTAGATGAACAAATGTGAACAGAAGTAACATATTGTGAACTAAATGTAATGTACATCTGCAATCTGCAGCCACAGTTACACACTTAGCATAAAAGTACATGAAGAAACGTTCATTTGCATCCATAGCTGCTCCGTCTTGGTCCATTTCCTGACATCCATCCTTTGTTTCCAGCCAAGCTGTGGGCAGAAAGTATAAAATAAACAAGTATGGCTGCGCTCACATCCTGTTTCACACACTCCATTTCCTCCTCCTGCCTACGGTGAGAAACAGCGCAGAGACGCAGAGGAACACCAAGAACTCCTGTGAGTGTGTCAGAGATGATGAGTGTGTGGAACGTGATGAGGCAGCGTTTAGACAGAAACACACTTCGCTGACAGGAAGAGGCAGAGAAACAGAAAACACTGAGGAGGAAAACGGAAAACGCTGTTTAGTTTCAGCGGGACCTGCTCAGCTCACCAAACAGAATCCAGTCAGAAAACCGAACCAGAACCTGACAGTGACCCAAACATACCAGAAAATCCAGTTGCTGGTCCTAGTCAAAGCCCAGATCTCGATCTCACTGAGAGCCTGTAGAGGGGCTTGAATAGAAGAAAACTGCAAAACATCTCAGAGCTGAAAATGAGGAGTGGATTAAACTTCCCT